TTTATAATAGTATCAATAAAGATTTATATAGATTGTAACGATAAATACATGAAATTGTACACATTACGTCTTTGGAAGTATGCCGCATTTAATTTAGAATACACGTGTTTTTGATCTGTTTGAAACTCGACAATTTTCGAATGAAGATTTCGGTATTTGCAAAATTTTATTGCTCTTGATTTGTTCTGTATTTTTGTACAATACATGTGATGTCTATTTTCAGCTTTCTTATAAATACATAAATATCTAGCATATCCAGCATATCTATAAGATTCTGCAGCGACATTAGAGACATAATTTAAGTACCAGATACCATTTAAGACCTCAGATTTTAAAGCTAATTTGCCTGGTCTATGTCGACTGTGGAACCTAATTCAGGTCCATGAACGTAATCCGTTTACCGTTGCGTTCGTTGTGAAACGCAAAGTGCGAAATGTGTAAGGGTCTCGTTGGTCGTACACGGGTATGAATGGGTCCTCGGGGTCTCGGTTCGCGAATCGGAGCGGGCAGGGGGGTAGCCAGCAGCGGCTCCCAACAACTAACAGCCATGACGGCACGGTGGCAGCAGCACTGAGCAGCACCGAGGCTGAGGCTCGGCTCTTAGCTCTCGAAATCTGGGGGAGTAGCGCCGCTCGCGGGAATAGCCCACCAGCGGAGCGGTACTCGCTCTGCCCGTTTCGTGCGCCAACGAAATATCTTCGACTAGACTGAAACTTCTTCGGGCACCGAATCTAAAAAGTAAGTCGCATCATTCCTTACGAGCGTCCGCGAAATTTCCCGTTGCGTTCCAACGATCGATCGCTCTTCGTACGCGGATAAATCGTGAGTTCGTTCTCGTTCACCTTCTCGTCCTCTCGAGATCCTCCACATTTTGCATTTTACGTTCTTTCGCGTACACGTATACCTAATGCGTCCATCTACCAATCTGACGCGTATATTTACGGTACGCATACTGCCGTAGAAAAGCAGATATACGTGCTGAGTGAAGTGTACAGTGAACAGAAATATTTGGTTATATACGTCCATATGTATGTACGTACGTATGTAGTTTGCGTGCGCTGTGTGCGTCTATGTACGACGCGTATATACTAGTACCGCATATATGTATATATATATATATA